CCACCTCAGACCCGCGACCCCTCCACCTCGGACCCGCGACCCCTCCATCTCGGACCCGCGACCCCTCCATCTCGGACCCGCGACCCCATTATTCAGTCACTCAGACTTGCTTGCGTTCCGTTGCACTCCGTATGTTTATATAACGTTTGATAATGTGAGGATAGAAATCTTTATTGCTGTGATTACTCCTCTGATCACCTCTTGGCACACACAGCTGAGTCCTATCGCCGTAATGACAACCCTTTTGTGTGTGCGCTCTTCATGGGCGCCCGACCAGCGGAATGGAACCCTCATGTCATTGGAGGATTGCGTTATCACTTGCTGCTTAATCTAAATGACCCTCCTGGAGATATGACTTTTATAGTCCTCGGGCTTTATATCGCAGTCAGGATTGTAAATACTTTCATGACAAACAAAAATATATCTTTTGTAGCTCACTTCCTGAAAGACTCGACGCGTTTATTTACCGGCGTGGACAGGAGCCAGATATGGAAGCAGTTAGGGCCGGATGGTAGTCTTACTGAAGGTTCTCACATAATTACAAAGGCTCCACCATTGCAATTATAGTTGAATTGCTTTAATTGTGTCTTAGTGGTGCAGCGGAATAAATCACTGTATGACACGATACTATAACTGTTGTACTCCCAGCGCGTCCCAATGGGTGCATGGCCGGCGTCTCAGAGTCTTCCACATTAGCATAGTCGGGTAGTAAGAGAAGATCACTAGAAACCATACACACAATGCATAATAGTTCTGTGAAACAGAACATATCTAGCTACCTTCTTTTGCCAAATTATCCCCCATCAACAAAATCATAACAATCTGAGAGAAATATCAGGCATAGGGATCCACCTGTGTCTGAAGCAAACATTTGGTATGACCTCCTCCATATCTATATACATAGAAGCCTTTCCATCCAACATCAATGTACTAAACAGCTCACGTGTGTGAGCATAAAGAAAGGAACAACAGACATAAAAAAAGAAAAGGAAAAAAAGAAACTAAAAGAAACAGGACAGCTTAAGGTGACATTAAACCCTCAGATTTTTTAACATAAAACAATACTGTAATGTGCGCCTTACAGTCCATGGTTGTTTCCCTTCTCTTTGCTGCTCTTCCTTTTAAATCCTCATGTCTTCTCATGCTTGGGGAGAACTTCCCTTTTCAGCTCAGGGCCTCTTCCTGTAGTGCTGGCTCAGGTTACAAGCCTATACAAACGTATACACAGACACCGTGTATCCATTCCTGAGACAAGGCAGTCTGCTGCAAAACAGAAGTTCTGCCCAGCATGAGAAGAGATACAGATTTAAAAGGAAGAGCAGCAAAGAGAAGGGAAACCACCATGGATTGCAGTAAGGCGCACATTACAGTATTGTTTTATGTTAAAAAATCTGAGGGTTTAATGTCACTTTAAGAGTCAAAAAAAGAGTAGATCTGTCCCCGACCAGATAGCCCAACATCTACTTAAACATTAAACATAGAACCCCAAAAAAAGAACAGAACAATTGTACAATGGAAGTTACCCGGTTTCCAACACCCCTGTATATAACATAAATTCTTTATTTAAAGAGTTTTCTTTTCTGTTGTTTTTTCCCCCCCATGTTGTCCAGGTATACATTACATGCATGTTGACATTTGTACAATAAAGACAGCAGTCTTGGAGAGGGAAAAAAGACAATATATGAAAAACAAACTAAAATAAAAGGAAAATTAAATGTCAATTTTAGACCCAGATGACAGGGAAGAGGTACGAGTGTGAGATCGTCGGGTATAGCCCCTGTATCATGAGAGGGTCTAAAGCATTACACAGCTAGTGAACGGGGGGCCCATCATCTCACATGTGAGTCGGGGTCACAGTGCAATTTTTAAATGTCTGAAGTGCAGTATTCCGGGGGGTGGGTAGGGGGAGAGGTCAGGAGGGGGGTGGAAGATGGGGAGACGGGGACAAGATGGGAGGGTGGAGATACTACAGGTCTATTCACAAAAGGGTGAGGAGTTTGGAGAAGGCAGAAGAAGTGAACAATGTAGGCCAAAATACCGGCAGTCCCCGAGTTACAAACATCAGACTTAGATACAATTTGATTTATTTCTGTCGCTCTTCATCTTGTCGTTCTGTTTCTGTTCTTTTTTTTCCAGTGATCCTCTAAAACTCCGTTACCAACATGTCTGGTCCTAACCGGAGGGCGGCCACCGGGCGTGCTTGTGAAATACAGATTTGTTCAGAATTCCCCAGTTTAGATGTGAAAACACACCTCTGGATCACCACGCGCTGAACCTGTTCTGCAGATATCAAAGCCTAGTTCTCGCCTTTCAGTCTTCAGACAAAGACAACCAGCTGAGTTCTGATAGGATGTGATGACAAGTCGCTGTGTGAGAACCTACGTGAGGAGTAAGCCGACTGCATTCCACTAGAACAAACAAAGCAGAGCTTGGAGGACTGAGACGCACCTAGCTCTTCACATCATGCGGTCAATCACCGCTGCTTGCCTGCGCTTGTTCTGCTTTCATAGACGCCGCTGGTCCTCCATGTTTCTGCTTCTTATTTCGTGTCTGCTGCTGCTCTTTCTGTCTTTTTCTGGGTATCTGGAGGAGTGTTTGTCTCGAGCATTGCCCATCTTCTACCCAAACCCTTCTCCGCTTTCCCCTTCTCGACTCTCAAGCATTCCAGTGCCGCCGTTCCTGCTCTCTCCTGCCAATGCTTGTTCACCGCCCCCCCTGCTCCTCATCTTAGTCTCCAGCGCCCCTTCCCATAGGGATAGAAGAGATGGAATCCGGCAGACTTGGGGGAGTCTCTCTTCTGCGACTGCTTCTTCGTCTCTGACCCTGTTTGTCTTGGCGGTTCCTGATAAAGCAGAAGAACGGTCAGCCCTGGTGCACGAGGCCGTCACTCACGGAGACATCATTCAAGCCAACTTCACGGACTCTTACCGGAACCTGACGATCAAAACCCTGACCGGATTGGCGTGGGCCGTGCAAAAGTGCCAAGGGGCTCGATTTGTGCTCAAGACCGATGACGACGTCTTTGTCAACACTCTGGCCTTGTCTTCCTTTCTCAAAGATCAGCAGGGACTTCGGTATCTTGGTCGGGTGCACTGGCACGTCGCTCCCTTACGGGATCCAGAAAATCGCCACTATACCGCACGTGAGCTTTACACCGGCAGCCATTTCCCCCCGTATTGTAGTGGCACAGGCTACATTTTGTCCCACGGAGCAGTGGGTCACCTGCTGCAAGAAGCCGGTAATGGCCCTTGGCCTTCGCTGGAGGACGTCTACATAGGCATTCTGGCAAAGCAGGCCGGTATTGCCCCCCGACAAGTTGCTAAGATAGCAGGTGCCTCGTCCATACCGCACAACAGTTGCTGTTACCGCACCATGTTTACCTCCCACAAACTTACACCCCGTGGCATGCAGGAGGCCTGGAATATGGTGAAAGGGGAAGAGGAACACTGGTGCCCCCCACTAACTCTACTCTTCTGTAGGTCATTTGGGCAGCCGTTGGATAAAGGAGAAAATGGGGACAGTTAACAAGTTGGCGCTACGCTTTGCTTGGTACCGGGGCTACAACTTTTCCTTTTTAAGATGGACATTCCCTGGACTGACTAAGCCCCCGAAGCTACGTAAGCAAAGCGCCTAAGAGAATGAAAGTCGCCACCCAACTTTAAGCCAAGCACCTAAAAAAATGAAAGTCGGCACCCAACTTTAAACAAAGCACCTAAGGGAATGAAAGTCGGCAACTGCGCTTTGCTTGGTCCCGGGGCTACAACTTTTCCTTTTTAAGATGGACATTCCCTGGACTGACTAAGCCCCCGAAGCTACGTAAGCAAAGCGCCTAAGAGAATGAAAGTCGCCACCCAACTTTAAGCCAAGCACCTAAAAAAATGAAAGTCGGCACCCAACTTTAAACAAAGCACCTAAGGGAATGAAAGTCGGCACCCAACTTTAAGCCAAGCACCTGAGAAAATGAAAGTCAGCACCCAACTTTTTGGAGCCTTTTCCATTCTGGATAACGAGAAACAAGTCCTCCTGCTCAGTCTTCAGTTGGCTTCTAGGCTCAGCAGGCCAGCTCCTGAACTCCACATGTATATAAATACCCGGTGAGGGTATCTCCATTGCTGGGTACAGTTGACCCTCCATTGTTCCAAACTCCGCTATGAATCAGAAATATGGTCGCTGCGAGCAACAAAGGCGATTTTAATACACTGAGCCGTTTTTTTTTTCTCCCTGTGTGCAATGGCTTGGACAGCTTCACACGTCCCAACTACTGAAATATGTTACATTACTGAGCCACTTGAACAATTAAAAGGATGTTTTGAGATGGATTTTATGTTTTCAGTGACTTTTATGTATTTGTGCATTGCTGCCTCTCCTATATAGCGACTCTGCTGGTGACTGCTGGATATTTTTGGGGGTTTCAGACATTTCAGTGGATACCGAGGAGCCTTTTTGGTGGTGATATCCGGAAGCAGCAGTACAATAGTTCCATTTTGTGTTCTCTTTGGCTTCGTATTTATTTGGAACCATTATTTATTCTGATAGATTTTAATTTTTTTTACAAGATTTTTTGGCACTTTTTAAAACATTTTTTTAAGGCTTCGAATGTCCTGGAAGCCGCTGCAGCTATAAAATGACGGCGGTGCCAACGTTCTCATTATTTGCACTGTGGTCAGTGGAAGCACTTGGTCCCCGAAACTACGAGGACTGTGCACACACGGGGATCTGCTGATCTCAGCTTGTTATTGCGAACCTGGAAAGCCGAGCGTATAGAAACTGAAAGCCGGGGGTAAGATTCTTCAAGAGGAACTCCAGGTATGCAAAAAGTTAACCCTTGCAGTGGGGCTACCCCCGTACTGCAAGAGTCTTGAGCCGGTGAGTGCTCACCTCTCCCCCCCCCCTCAGGTTGTGGTATATCTCTCTGTATCCTCTCATCTAATGCAGGTGAATGGACTGCATGAGATGTGATGACATCAGCTGGGCTAAGACTGTCAGAGCCCGGGGAGGGTGCAAGGACCGATCTTGCAGATAGGCAGGGTCAAGGATAGGGGGAGTATATATATATTTATTTTTTTATTTGAGCCCCCAAGAGAAAAATGAGCAGTTAACAGTGGTGGGGAGGGGGTGGGTGCAGCTCTGCCCCCACTGCAAGGGTTAACTCTTTATGTTCCTGGAGTTCCTCTTTAAATCGAACAAAGCTTCCGTCAGCTCCAGTCTCAGGAGTCACATGCAGGTCTTCATTGGAGTTCTGGCTGTAGCTGTAAACAAGCTTTTAGAAGGCAATAAGCAAGTTTATAAGCTACCGATGCTTGTGTGTTACATGACCTTCGAACAAACTCGTTTTATTGGTCTACTTTTTGTTTTTTTGTAGCTTTTAATATTGTTTGCCAAAAATTGCAATCTTCAGAGCTTCCACTTTGCTGGAACCGAGGGTCGGGTCTATGGAGTCCATTCTAAAGCTTCTTTTACCTTTGTGCAGTGACAGTCTTCTAACCTCCTAACCATCGACTGGTCATCCCCTCTGCCCGATCTCCGCTCCCGTCTGCTCCACTCTCCTCCTCTCCCCACCGCTCCACTCTCCCCACCGCTCCACTCTCCCCCTCTCCGCTCTCCCCTCCACTCTCCCACCTGACATTTAAATTATTTGCTGTTTGGCTGAAAGAGATCCTCCAATAGAGTGGGGAGAGATTTGTTTGCACTGATTTTAGCCCAATGTCCCTGACTGTTGTCAGATAGCGACCAGACTTTTCTAGCTGGTATGAGAGGGGCCGGCAGACTGTCATAGCGTGTCCTAAAACAGACCCTGTAGACATGTCATGGGTAGGCAGCTAAACAAGCAGCGCCCCCACTCCCCGGAGTTCTGCTTTAATCCTATCAGGAAAATAACACAGACTACAGTCCAGGAGTAATCTAATATGTGCTCCGTGTTCAGTCCTGTTCAACCGTGTACAAATGTACAGTTTGGGGGAATGGCGGGTTGAGGAAATGTGTCACCGAGCCTGCAGCACCATAATCAGACTACATCTCTCATGTACAGTCATGTGACTGAAACCAAATGGAATGTCAGGACAGGCATTTAGGTGTGTTTCAATTCTAACCAGGACACTGGTACTGGCGGTAACCAGGACAAAAGTACACACTAGACAATCTTAGGGACTTCTGTGGCTCAGTCTTCTAAACCTGTCACTAACGCTGCTCCAACTCACCTAGACCTTTGCCTCATTCTTGTTACATTACTAGAGATTGGCGCATGCTAGACGAGCCTGTGATGAGCTGCACTCATAGGAGACCGCTCCCCACGTGCGAATGACAAGAGACAGTTGAAGGCTGCACTCGTATTACTAATTCATTTACCAGCAGAAGGCATGACTCGTTACAGCAGGAGCCGGCAACCTCGACACTCCACCTGTGGCGATACTACAAACCCCCGTCATGGCTTTGCCTCTGGCTGCCAGTCTTGCAGTGACTCATGGGACTTGTAGTTCCACAACAGCTGGCATGCTGAGGTTGCCCACCCCCTGCTATGTAGTTCTTTGCAGTTCTGGCTTATAGTACCTGTGCAGCGTTGCCAGTTGTTGCAGCCCTTCTGGCTAAGATGGCCTACCCCTGCGTTAGGAAGTGACATCATTGGTCACATGACAGCATGCGAAAGTCACACTGCAATGTCTAATCTATGGAGTAAACAATCAGCAACCCAAACTGTTGAGTTGCAACCTTAGCCAGGGCAGGTGACTTCGAACCGTCCTGACAAATACCGGCTCCTCTTCACGGCAGCCATGACCCCGATTATCGCTCATAGCTATGAGGCCCTCCCGGAATTCTGCATGGTCAGGTCCAGCGATGTGCGTTCTTAGCAGGCACGGCTTGTCGGTCTCGGTAATGCTGCACGGCTTCCTATAAAGCAGGGCTAACCAAACTCCGGCCCTCCAGCTGTGGTATAACTGCCAATCCCATGAGGCATTGCAAGATAACCGCAGGCATGACACCCAGAGACAGATGCATCATGGGATTTGTAGTTTCAGCACAGCTGGAGGGCCAAAGTTTGGCTACCCCTGATATAAAGGATAAACACAGACTGTTACATGAATAGAGAACTTGCACTGACTAGCTGCAGAACTACAAATCCCAAAAGCCAGTGAATGATGTTTCTGGTCTTCCTGTATTTCTATACAATTTTTTAATACTTTTGTAACTGTGATATTATTGCATGTGTGTGACATTTTTAGGGCAAGTGGGATGCAGTAGAATAAAGATCTGTATGTGGACTCGGGTCACACCCACCCAAATAGAATATAAAGCACCCATCACACTGTTACTGTAAAGCTGACTGTACAATTCCCGCTGTATATTGTGGAATGGCATGTCCCCGTGTTACATAATTTGGGTCAATTTAAAAAGGAGCTTTGTACAGAGTATGGGGGCAGGTGACGTCATCACCTGATATCAATGTGCGTTGTTATACGGCTGTGACTTCCATACGTTGTTGTGCTTTATCATTGGTTGTTAATAAAACAGACTTGTTACCACAAAACATGTTTTATTGTTCTTATCAATAAAGTTTTCAGCAGATCACAAATTGTAAGATTAAAAAGAACAATATAAATGCATTTATTATGAAACATATATACAGAGGAGGGAGGCGAGTGTATAGCCTGGAGCAGGCGTAGGAAGCTACAAATCCCATCATGCTGCAGGAAGTCATGCCTGTCAGTTTCACAATGCCTCATGGGACTTGTAGTTCCACAACAGCTGGTGTGCCGATGTTGCCTAGAGGGAACGACAAACCTCACCCTCATTGTACTCGGCTCTGCCAGGGATGGGCAACCACAGTACTCAGCTGTTGTGGTACTACAAGTCCCATGAGGCTCTGCAAGACTGATTGCCATTGGTTTTGCAGTTTCACCACAGCTTGACTGCCCCCCTAATATAGGCAGTTCAGGGTTGGCACCTCCAAACTTTGGTATCTCATGACAGACAGCCGTCTTCATCATGGGTCGAGCAGATCACTTTTTGAACCTGTCCAATGTTGTCCGAGGACCGGGATCAGCAGCTGCGGCTTCCCTCTCTTTCAGCTCCTTCTTGCGGATTTCTACCGATTTCTTGATCTCCTCCTAGAACAGAGTGACACAGAACCATTGTTAGGGATCAAGGTCTCAGCAACAGCTACAAACGGGTCTTAGGCCTTGTTCACACCAGACACAGTGCGTTCCAGCCCGATTATGGCCAGAACGCACTGCCTCGCATTGCAGCCGGCTCACTTTTTTGTGGGGCAGGAAGGGGCGTGGCGGTCCATTGAAGTGAATAGCATTTTAGCCACGCCCTCCAGCCACACGGGATCGCAAGGCATATTATGCCTGCGGTCCGGTCCATACAAAAATTGCTTGCAGCATTTTGTTCGGACCGGACCGCAGGCATAATGTGCCTTGCGATCCCGTGCGGCCGATCGCATCATGGCCAGAGGGCGTGGCTACGGTGCCATTCACTTCAATGGTCCGCCACGCCCCCTCCTGCCCCACAACATAGTGAGCCGGCCGCAATGCGATGAAGCGCGTTCTGACCAGAATCCAGCCGGGACACTCCAGATCTGGTGTCACTGAGCCCTTAGGCCTACAGTATGTTACATGAGCAATCCTGTGCCTGGCGGCAACTCACAAGCAAGAGGAATGCTAAAGAGGGGAGAGAAACCACACGTGCTTCTTGCTGCCGGAAACGCTGCAAATGTCTCCGGCCGGCGAGGGAACAACGCCATACAAAACGGGTGTGTAGTTTCTCTGCCCTCTATTGAGTTGCTGCCATAGGACTCCTATCTGGGCTATTAACTCTAAACTCCAGGATAGTTTCACAATCAGACCCTTACTTCCTGTCTCTATGCACACTACAAACGTCCATAAAGTATTTTTACCCCTGCACTGCGCAAGGGTTAAGTGCTCGTTTTTTTTCTAGGGGAGGTCCAATACAGCAGATATCAACTGATCCTTGTTCTCACCAGGCTGCTAGACCGGTCCCCGCAGCCTCTTCTCCCCAGGGCTCCAGTGGTCAAAGCCGTATTGACGTCATGACATCTAATGCAGGTCCACTGACTTGCATTAGATGTGAGGACACTGAGGGACAGTCCGCAGCGGAGAGAGGCAAGCGGTGACTGCCGTGGGACTGAGGACCAGTTGGGTATAATCTGATTTGAACCCTCTAGAGCAGTGGTGGCGAACCTTGGCACTCCAGCTGTGCCCAAACTACAAATCCCAACATGCATCTGCCTCCGGGAGTTATGTCTGTGGCTGTCAGAGCCTTGCAATGCCTCATGGGACTTGTAGTTCCAAAACAGCTGGAGTGCCAAGGTTCGCCACCACTGCTCGACAAAAACGAGGACTTGGCCATAAATGATTTTAAATGCCCGGAGTTCCTCTTTAAACCAACCTAGTTTTGGTGTAACTGACCCGTGTAAAGTCTGCGACATCAATTTAACCCCTTCATGACTGAGCTGGTTTTTAGTTTCTGTTCCTAAATGACTGACACACTTTTTACATTTATGCTGTGTGATTCTTCCACAACCGATGCTGGCGATGTACACTGTACGTCTCCCGTCACGAAGGGGTTAAGTGAAAACACAGCTATGGCCAGGCACAGGGGGGAGTATCAATACAGCGCCTACATCATTCCCTCCCAGTGCTGCCGGAACTACAATGCCCACCATGCAATGGGAATCATAGCTGGCAATGGTTGTGAATGTGGCTGATCCCAAGTCTGCCACTCATAGCCTTCTGTCTATTCACACTGCTCAGCCAGGCACAGCGGGTATGTCATAGGGGGCAGGGCAGGCCAAGAGTCTCCTGGCCTGTCAATCAAATAACGCTTTGTTATTGGGCTGTACAGCCTGGGAGTATGAGCCGCTCAGGTCACACTGGAGAAGGGCCTGGGGAAGAAGCAGACATACCAGTCACATGTCTTACACACCGGAATGAAGAACACTGACCCCTCATGATGCAGAATTCTAAGAGTCATTTTTTTTATTACATGATGTTTCTTCAGGTAAGAAATAAGATTTCCTAAAGTCCATTAAAGTGTCAGCCCGGAGTTCAGCTTTAGGCCTCACTCACATGGGCAGGCAGCGTGCGTCCAAGTGCGTGCACCCGGATAAATGAGAGTCTGAAGAAATAGGATTTTTGTACTCACCGTAAAAACCTTTTCTCTCCGTTCATTGAAGGACACAGGCATTAGATTTAAGATCATGTACCGTAGGGTAGATCGCCCCCTGCAGGAGAAGGACGCTAGCGATATACCCTACAGTGCATGATCTTCAATCTGATTCCAGTATCCTTCAATGAACGGAAGAGAAAAAGCTAATGCATCCTTCACTGTATTGAGAAAAAACCATCCCTTGCTAACCCCACCCCTTTCCTTCTCTGTATTAAGCAAAAGCCCTCCCTTCCTGCTAACCCCACCCCTTTCCTTCTATGTATTGAGGAAAAAAGCATCCCTTCCCGCTAAGCCCACCCCTTTCCTTCTCTGTATTGAGAAAAAAAAACCCTCCCTTCCCGCTAAGCCCACCCTTTTACATAGTTACATAGTATTTGAGGTTGAATAAAGACATTAGTCCATCAAGTCCAACCTATTAGGATCATCCTTCTCTGTATTGAGAAAAAAAAACTCCCTTCCCGCTAAGGCCACATGTTTCCTTCTGTATTGAGAAAAACCCCTCCCTTTCCGCTAACCCCGCCCCTTTCCTTCTCTGTATTGAGAAAAAAGCCCTCTTCCTGCTACTCCCACCCCTACGCAGTATTGAGAAAACATTCCCACCTTTGCCACCAAGCCCCACCTCTTTTCCTCTCTCTGCTCTGTTGCTGCAAAAAGCTGCACCACCACTATATGCATGGAAGAAGTGTATAAAATGTCACTGTGGGCAGCAGGAGTAGGGAACGATGGCAGTTCATAGAGGTGTGTGTCAGCAGGGGACAGTTGGGACTCACCCTCTTCTCCTCATGTGCGACCTTCTTCTTGCGTTTCAGGATATTCCCGCTGGAACTTCTTCCCTTCAGCTTATGTCGAGGAGCGAAGCGAGTCTTCTCGTAGGGATCATAGCCCTGGAGATGGGACAGAGAGCGTCAAGAGATAGAAACATTTTCATAAAACAAGTGAGCAAGAAAGCCGATGTTTGCATTTGTTTTCATCTCTTCTGGAATGAGGAATAGCTCATACAGCTTCAGTCCTGTACACTCATACAGCAGAGGGGGGCGGTGTCATGTCATTGAATTTGGGGTCCCTTGATGTAGTCCCCATTAACTCCATTGAGATGATGCAATAAACTGGCCTGTTCACCTCTAAGAACCCGTCATTGGTGCTTCTTAGAGAGACGGGCTCTCTGCAATAGGAGATTAAAAGAACAAAAAGACACCTCTACCTTCTGTGCCTCCAAAAACTACCCCACCCCCCCAAAACCTAAAATTACACCTTTGTCCAACAATACTGCCTGCGGTCCAGTCCGGTGCAATCAAAATGCTCCAAGCACTATTTTGATCGCACCGCAGGCATAATGTGCCTTGCGATCACGTGCAGCCGATTGCATTGCGGCCGGAGGGTGTAGCTACGGTGCCATTCACTTCAATGGCCCGCCACGCCCCCTCCTTCCCCACAAAAAAAGTGAGCCGGCCGCAATGTGAGGCAGTGCATTCTGGCCAGAGTCGGGCTGGAACGCACTGCGTCTGGTGTGAACGGGCCCTAATGCAGAGCAAATGTCCCCTCACCCAACAGCACCATCTAGTGGCCAGATTCAGTATAACAGAAATGTACCCCATGAACTGAGGATCTGTAGCTGAATACAACCTGACAAGTTCGGTGCATGAAACTGGCTGGGTTGTGTTTTGCAGTTGTACCCTAATTCAAGCAAAGAAAGTCCTTCTAGGGATAGTGCCTGGGAGGGTGGTCAGGGGGATGACTAGTCCATCAGATATTTGGGTCACCACAAGGCAAAGTCATGCTCTGACTTCCCGGGTCTGCACACCTGATGTGGCCATCATAGGGGCTCCACCGTCCTATTTATTTTATATTATGGAGACTGCAATGGAAGGATCTGGAATGTACAAAAGGTGAAAGGGAACACCCAAAACTCACGGGTAGAGTCAGGGATCATGGCAGGGTGACCTTTCTGTTGGAGTGTCCAAGACATAGAAAAGTCAGGGGCTATCTTCGCTCACCAGACCTAAATATCACTCGTGGGTAGACCAACCCTGAAGAGGTAAAGTGCTGAGGATTGTGACAACACCGATACATAAAATGAATGTTAAAATAGATGGAAGATCAGTCACCATTCTCTCCACTTGTTCTTTCCGTTTCTGCTCCATGGTGATGACGTCAACCTCTCCCAACTGAGTGGGGTCCAAAGTGATGAGCTCAGGCTGGATCTGCGGGATACAAGACAGGAAGAATTGAGACCCTCTCGCTCAACCTTAAATATTAAAGTGCTGGGAATGTGACTTTCATTGCATCTCCTCCAGCCCCCAGGGCCTGGAAACACAGAGATTGACATGAGAGTGCAATGAAATGGAGGCCAGCGGTACGGCCATGGTGCGGCCCTTTAAATGTAACCCTCAGTGTTTGCATTACCTTCTCCAGCAAAGCCTTGACCTCCCATTCCTGCCTCTGCTTCTTGGATTCATACGGGTTGCATTCCAGGCCATCAAAGTTGGCCTCGCCAGCCCCTGTTGGAGTGAAGCGTGAGTACAAGGCATGATGGGAAAATCTTACAAGAACACAGTGCAGAGAAGGAACAACAACGATCAGATATTAATAAATTCGCAATCACTGACCTGGTACAAGCATGCTGGTGAATCCTCCGCCGTGACCGATTCCCAGGACATCCTCATAGGGACAGAACTGGAGCCCGTGGATTGGTGCCCTCACGGAGAGGCACATGTATGGAGCTTTGGGCTCGGTGATGTGAGTGTCCTTATAGATCTATTAGACAGCAAATTACATGTTTGTACTCACAGGTGTAGTCAACGAGCAACGCAGACAGCAAAGCCGGCGTGCAGATTAGAATATCCCATATATACAATAAGACGACAGTGAGCTGAGATCTGATTGGATGCCAGGTATTCACTCCATTAATGTTCCTGTTCTTATAATTAGGCACTTTGTATTGTATTTTTACAGAGCTGTGGTAAGGCCACCAACCATTACAGGCCACCGACAGACAACTAAAAGAAGGGGCGGAGCCGAGACCAGTCCCCCTGCACAAGGAAAGAAAGCAGCAGTGAGCGGTCTTTATTACAGGAGGGGGCGGAGACAAGACCAGTCACCCTGAACAAGGAGAGAGAGAGGAGCCGTGAGGGGTCTTTATTACAGGAAGAGGCGGAGACAAGACCAGTCACCCTGCACAAGGAGAAAGAGCAGCAGTGAGGGGTCTTTATTACAGGAAGAGGCGGAGACAAGACCAGTCACCCTGCACAAAGAGAGCAGTGAGCGGTCTTTATTACAGGAGGGGGCGGAGACAAGGCCAGTCACCCTGCACAAGGAGAGAGGAGCAGAGAGCGGTCTTTATTACAGGAAGCTCCAAGTCTCACACTGGATTACTGCACAGATCTGCGGGGCATAAGCACAGGTTCACATTACACAGCCCTCCCCAGCAGCACATGCGTTCCTCCCTTTGATCTATCACTGCCAGAAGCTAAAAGGAAAGTCCAGTATAAGGTACAAGTGACCCGAGTCCTGGGTTACACAGAGCTGTAGACGCTCCGTGTGACACTACCGATTGGCCCAGCGCCGGTACTTGGCAGTCACATGCTCCAAGTGGCAGAATTATCCTTTGGCCCTCGGACCTAAATGGAGCCGCAGGAGAGTGAAGATATTTATATCCCACCTCTCCCTAACCACTGAACCATCACGTTCAACAATTCCTCCCCACACAGCTCCCTCCTCTTGTATCACTGGCCACTCCCTTTTAGATTGTAAGCTCTCAGGGGCAGGGCCCTCCTTACCATCTTGTCTTGAATTGTATTGTGATTGTAATGTCTTCCTTATATTATCTAATTTAGTTCTCCTGTGCCGCCTGCAGGGACACTAATAGGGAAAGTATTTGCAATGGGAGTGGCGTCCCCCTACTACCTCACTGACATCACCTGGACTTCATCACAGATCAGTGACATCCCTGTGCACATCACCGAAATCTGCTCCACATTTATTTTACATGCTACAGTTCAGGGATATCCAACCTTCGCACTCCCGCTGTGTTAAAACTCCAAATCCCAGCATGCTTCGGCCTCTGGGAGTCATGCATGGTGGGGCAATCAAAGCCTTGCAATGTCTCATGGGACTTGTAGTTCCACCACAGTTGGAGTGTCATGGTTGCCTACCCCCACTATAGTTCTACGCTCTCCCCTCTAGTCTGCTGCCCTATAATAATGGCTTACATTACCTGTACAACATTGCCAGTTGTTGCGGCCAGCAGACCCTTCTGGCTGTAGCACAGAGACCCCGCCCCCAAGGGAATGCGGCAGGACGTCAAAGGCTTGTAAGTTCGAAGGTCGTAGATCGTCAGTTTTCTGTCTAAACCGGAAGTGGCCATGTACCTGCGGAAGAAAAATAAAGTGGATCAGACAGGCACACAGAGGGTAATGTGACCTACTGTTTAAAGTCTAAGTCTTAGTTCTGAATAGGGTGGTTATGGGTTAGAACCCCCGTCAAGTTTTTACTGTTGGACCCATTTGTTCTGCTGAGCACTGTCACAGTGCCCAAAGGGAAAATGCGTTGTCACTGGAGCAGGAACACAACTCTATTCTTCCAATGAGAACAATCGTTGCTGTGACAACTGCCTAATGGGGGATTTACCTTACTTTGAAGAGATTTGCACTCACTTCCTGTGTTGTCTACAGGACAGGAAGTGAAAGGAAATTTCTCCACTGGGAAAAAAGAAAAATCAAACCTGATCAGCCATTTCTTACTCAATCCAAAACTAAAAAAAAATAGCTTTAGACATCCTTTAATGAGAAGGAAGCCATTATACACCTACATTCCAGTCTTGTCCACACTCATCCCTCGGATTGCTCCGTGGTGGCACAGCATCTTCACCAGGGGCTCCTTTACAGACGGGCTCCAGAGGGAGACAGTTCCTGGGAAGAGGAGACATCAAAATGACATCCACAAAACAGGACAAACACAGTCAATGGCTGAGCACTGCAAATCAATGTAACCGATGAGGTGTACAGTCATTCCGGGAAATGTACCCAGGAGAAGGAGCAAAGCATGATGGGTTAGCAGAAGACCGCACGAGAAGGAGGAGACGTAAGAGGTAAAAGCTGCAGGTGGTACAAAAGACTAAGGGTCCAGTCAGACCATATCCAGTGCGGTTAGAGCCCGGAACGCACTGGATAGCATTGATCAAGCCAGGCAGCGTTCAGGGGCGTTGTAGTGCTATAAAGTCCAGGGCACGATTGCCCGCACCGGAACGTGTGGCACATCAATGCCTGCGCTCCAGTGTGATCAGAAAAAAATAGTGGGTCCTGCACGAAACTAGCGCATTTCTGGTCTCAGGTACGACTTATATCTCAAAAATTTACTGATTGTCCAATTCCGGATGACCCAGCCTTTTTCCTACTGCACCACAACCAGTATACGCTCAAGGGGTATAGGCGGTCAATAATGGTCCATCTGATCAACGCAGCACGAGCATGTATACCTCTGTTGTGGAAGCAGGAGGCTCCTCCTTCGGTAAAGCTGTGGTTCACCAAAATTAATGACCTCAGATATATGGAAGACCTTACCAGTCACATCAAAGATACTTCCTCTAGATTCAATACTACCTGGCACTACTGGCTCGAATATACAACCACGGATGAATATCGAGCATACATGACATCTTGAACGATTCCAACTCTCTGGTATCCTCCCCCCCCCTGACCCCTCCGCCTCTCCAACTCTTTTCCTGCTATGCCCTACCATATCTATACCCTTTCCTTTACTCTCCTCCCTATCCCCTTAACATTTCAGCATATATCCTTCTCCCAGGTAAACTACTTCCTTCTCAAAAGGTAAAGGTTATATACGGTCAGATGAATAGACGATATGCTATCTCAGCCCTTTACGGATCATTTACAGGTTGGAGCTTCCCCCTGAGGGGACAGGAACACAAGTCTCCAGAATACGGGGCTGCTTAGCCCACAGTTTATTGTCTTCTCCCTAAGCTCCCGGTGTAGTCCTGAGATGGTATTTGTATTTATACTGCCAAATGCATGTAACTTCTGCTTACTGACCCCATGTATGTATATGCTTTCTATGTGTACTCTCCCCTACTACTTCATGTAAATGACGTAACTTATTATGCTGTCAAAAAAATAAAAAAAAATAAACATTATTAAAAAATAAAAATAAAAAAAAAATAAAAAAAAAAAATAGTGCAGCATTTTTTCAGATCGCACTGCACCGGAACGGAGGGTATTCCTGTACCTGGCGTTCCGGTGCAGGCGATCCCCACTGCGGGCGGGGTGTGTGTCTGCGGTGCCATAGACATAAATGGCGCTGACACAACCCTTCCTACCCAGGATGCTGCCCGCCTTAATCTATGCCATCCAGTGCGTTCCGGGTTCAAATTGCACCTGAACGCACTAGATATGGTGTGACTAGGCCCTTGAGGATACAAAAGACAAACTCAAGCGTGAATACTTGATACAGCTGGAGAACCCGGCCCTGATCCAATAAGCTTTCACTCTATGAAGACGGGGGAGGGTACCAGTAGTAGGTAGAGAGTTGGTTTTGGGTCAATTGTCTTTTTATGTTTAACCTGTTTTATTATAAGTTCATTTTAAATGACTTTCTCTAGTTTTAGGTTTTACGTTGCAGTAGAGACCCCGTCGTCATACTACACCTTCCGAGCCAAGAGAGAGTGTACTGACGTACCGCTCCATTCATGAGAAATGGTCCTCCGAAGTCAGCTGGGAACAGACACTTTTGGTAGTGTGGATCTCCTGGCTCTCCCGGTTCTTCCCTTTGACCTCAACATCACTACTCTCTACTGTGCTGAGTGGAGGTCGGCCTTTTATCTAAAATTAAGTATCATCTGTTACCAGTGTTTAGGAGGGGAAATGCTCCGCTGTTCTTTCCGGGTCAGGATGGCTGGCTGTAGAGTACCCTGCCTGAGATGATGGGAGTCCTGAAGGGCGGTGGGAAGAAAACTGAATTGAGCCTTGTAAGCCTGTGGGGGTCAGAATTACTTCCACAGTGTCTCGGGTCTGGAGGGTTCCAATGCCTCCTGATCAGATAGGATCTGCCTGGTGTGGTCATGGGTTTGGAACGCAGAGGCCCGCAGTACTGTGCCCTCTAGGGACAGTTGGGTTACCCACTGTGCGACAACGGCACTAGGTAACGGCACTTCAAGCTTATTCTGCAACATGCTTCTTGGGCAGGCCTTTTGGCAAGCAATTTTTAGATCTAGGCCGGAATGCCGGCTATGTCTTTCACTGGAACTTATTTTATTGCACTTATTGCATGACTGCACTTCTGACCCTACAAAACAGAAGGAGGGTTTGGGTACTTTCGGGACCTGCTGTTCCTAGGGAAGAGGTTCTGTGACGTTTGGGTCTTTCTGCCTCTCTCCAACTTGGGGGGGTCGCTTTTCTGGAAAGCCCTCACCAAGTACTTGGTGGACCGGCTTCAGCTGGTTCTGAAGAATCGTGGTCTGTCTGGTTTCAGCCTAGGTGGACCAGGGTTAGCTTGCCCCCGTCAGAAGCCTTGAGCCCCACGGGGGGGTCCGGGAGTTGTGGCCCTCCCGCTTCTCAGTGAAATGTTGCCGCTATATGGGAAGAGGTCATAATGGAACGACAGTAGGTCAGTGAAGGATTGAAATGGGTTTGGAAAGTGCGGACTTCTAACTTGCCCTACAAAGCCGACAACCATAATCCAATTGGCGGCTCTACTCTGTGATCCAGATGTCACTTGTCATGTATATGCTGGTTGCCGGAGTCCCGCTGTACACTACAAAAAGGAAATCATCGTCTTCCATACCATTGTAATGGCCCAGGTGGATGATGGCATTGTACGGGTTCTGGCACATTACACCCAGTCTTCCGGCCTTACAACAAATGGCTGAGACCTCCTTCCCAACAGAGACGTCCAGGTACTGCAGGAAGCTGGTGGCACTCTGCAGAGAACAACGCTTGGTCAGGAGATACACGGGGGGGAAATCAGACACAACATGACCAGCCAAACTTTGCTTTCATCACACTTACACTCGTCGCTAGCAGGAAGTGATATGGCAGGAACTCCATACGTAAAACGTCATTAAACCTCTTGATGCAGTGAAGCTCCACCCCCAGCGAGTCGTAGATGTACAGCCACTTCTTCTGAGCCACTGCGAACATTGTATTTGTGTGCAGCCACCTGCAGGGGGAGGAAGAGAGCAGGTGAGGTAGGGTTTAGAGGAGAACTGAGGTCAGTGAAAATCACTCATCCTCATAGTTTGAGCCGACGTGTGACAATGAAACACATACCGTCGCTCGCTCACTTCTCGATCATGTCCCTGCAGAGAGCCGTGAGTGTCACTCTCGGCTCCCTGCAGGGATTCCCCCTCCCCTCTCATCCTCCAGCACTGACTGGAGGAATGGACGGGGGAGGGGGCGGGCACAGCTGGCTCTGCCTCTAGATAGGCAGAGCCAGCTGTCACTCGCGCAGCTGGGTGGATATCAACAGTAATGTTGTGTTCCCTCCCGGCTGCGGCGTCTCAGTATACCGGGAGCTGTAGCTCGCGATATACTGAGCTTTAGGTCCCGGGAGGACGCTAGTATATGTCCTCCTGTGACCCTTGAGAACTATGGGGAAAAGCACTTACCCCATAGTTCTCCTTTAACTTAACAGCACATAGTTATTGTGTCAGCTCTCCAGGCATCATATATCCCACAACAAACACCCGTCCAGATATCATTCCTCTGTCCTTATTCAGAAGGGCGACCTTCACAACCCCGAAATGCGTTTCCTGGTCAATTTGGATAAAATCTTCCTGTGGCTCTTCTATTGTCTACTTCAGGGGTAGCCAAACTGCGGCCCTCCAGCTGTGGGGAAACTACAAATACTATCATGCATCTGCCTCAGTAGGCCATGCCTGTCAGAGACTCGCAATGCCTAATGGGACTTGTAGTTTCATCACAGCTGGAGGGCCGCAGTTTGGCTACCCTTGGTCTACTTCAAGAGGTAAACTCAGGTCCTCCAGCTGTGGTGGAACTACAAGTCCCAAGAGGCATTGCAAGACTGACAGCCACAGGGATGACTTACAGAGGCATGATGGGAGTTGAAGATTTACCACAGCTGGAGGGCCGCAGTTTGCCTACCCCTTGCTCTAACATATCTGCATTCTACCAGCCCTGGACACGGTAGTAGGAGTGCCACACCAGTGTATTCATTGATCTGCTGCATTTTCATTGACGGGACGATCTTCTCACCTACGGCAGGCAGCCAAATCAACAAAGTTATTAAAGAGAAACCAACCTGACGTCATTGACCGTCTCCATCACATTCATCTCGCAGCGCAGCTTCTTGGTGTGCCAGTCCAGGGAGGCGATGTGACCCCGTTGACCGGCCAGGAGGAGGTTCCTGAAGAAAAATAATGTGGGAGAGTTACATATAATTATAATAATAATGATAAAAAAATTATAAAAAATAAAACAAACACAAGTATGAAATAGAAAACGACAGTTTCCCGTTTGTCATGCTAATCCTCCAGCTTCAATGATGATGAAAGATCCAGCGTTGGCCGGGACTGCTGTGAGGTGTGCGGAGGGCTCCCCCAACGACTTAGATCCAGCGTTCTGACATCACTGGCTGCAAACGTGTTCTAGGCCAGTGACCGAGACACTGCAAAGCCGCAGGCAGCATTTCGTTCCTCAGTTTAGGTTTATTACATTTTAATAGTATCACAGAATAAAAGAGGACATTGCCCCCACCCCCCAAAAAAATTTAAAGAATTGCCCCTGCAATAGAAGCTTCTGAATACGGACCTCTTCTCTGGGCAACGATTCTGAACTCAACTGCCTATGAGCGCCAAAGCCTCTGGCAGAATATTCATCGCTCAACACTGCTGGGGGTACCTGCGTCCCCCGTTGCAAGCAGTGGTTCAATCTGCCGCCACCTATATCACTACAGGACAGAGCAGTCACATCAGTGGGGACAATTGAAGCCAAAACCTTTTTTTAGTTTTGGATGGAGTGGAGAGGGATTAGACCCCCTTGTCACGTTTTTATTGCCGTCTGCACCTCAGTTAGGGAGATTCACCCGGAAAGTGAAAGAAAATCCCAAATTTTGGGTTGTCACCAGAACAGGAATAGAAGGGAAATCTTCCAATGAGGACACAAAGTTCTGCTGACCAAAAGGAATTTCTCTTTGGAGGGATATACGGTCACTTCTTGTTGGGGCTATCAGACAGGAAGTGTCCCCCAATGGGACACAGATGACCAAAAAAAAAAAAAAATAGCTGCCAGTGGTTATAAACAGGGATGCACCGATACCATGAGATGACGAGGGAGCATGAAGCCAGCTTCCCGGCCAATCAGAATGCCGGGCGCTGCGTCATTACACAGCGCCCAGCTTCCTGATTGGCCAGCTTACCGACCAATCAGGAAGACAGGCAGCGCGTCATTACACGCTGTCCGGCTTTCCGGTTGGCCGGGAAGTTGGCTCCATGCTCTCTCATCACAAGTGACGAGAGAGCATGGAGCTGCTTCCCCGCCAATCATGAAACCGGGCAGCGTGTAATGACGCGCCGCCCGGCTTCCTAATACAGAAGTATCGGGCCAGGCATTGGAGCTAGGCCGGTATCGGCAATGATACCGATACTAGTATCGGTATCGGTGCATCCCTAGTTATAACCCTCCTGTACTATATCCAAAACCCAAAAAGTTTTGGCTTCAGTTCTACTTCAGCGCTGCCCATCCTGTGAGCAGAAATAATTTTCAGCCTGCCAGGAGGAAGAAGGGACAGAGATGCAGCAGGAGGCGCTCCTAGTGAAATGGTAACAAGGCATCCTCTGACATACCCCAATGTACATTATATCACACCTCCCCCTCCCCCACATCACCCACCTTCCATTTCGGGAGTAGTTGATTCTGTACGGTCCAAACTGGTTGAGGAAAAGGTTAAAATGCTGCAAAAAAAAAAAAAAAGAACAGCGAGTATAATCAACTCATCGTATGAAGGGACAATGTCATTCTTTTTCTCACACCCGTCACCGGTATTCGCGATAGACACAGAGGATATAAATCTACTGTGTGTGCATCAAAAGCCTTTGCAAACATAGCAGTGACATCACTGTGCTGCACCTATCCTGAGCAGAGCTGAGGGAGGGGCCTAACAGGCTCCACCCACTACAGGTTGCCTGCTGAAAGAGAATATGACGATCAGGACTCGGCATGGACGCCCGGGGTTGATTTCTGTACCTTTGAGGCGCTGGTAATGTCCACCACATCCACGATGTCCTGCTGGGTTATTGTGCTGGTGTCCTCGCCCTCGTCTCCTTCCAGGTACCTGAACAATGTAATAAAATGAGAAGAGTGAGGACTGGGATGAGGGAAACCGAGATTTTTCATTAATGGAGATTTTGACCTCTGAAGTCAATGGGGAAGGTGAAATGTTAAAGCCCGCCTGCAGTCCCTGACCATCTCCCCTTCCATACCCGCAGCCTCTGACCATCTCCCAGTCCAAACCCGCAGCCTCTGACCATCTCCCCTTCCACACCCGCAGGCTCTGACCATCTCCCCTTCCATACCCGCAGGCTCTGACCATCTCCCCTTCCACACCCACAGCCTCTGACCATCTCCCCTTCCATACCCGCAGCCTCTGACAAACCAGGTGACTGAGATAAACCTCCACTTTCCCTTGTGGAGAGATCACCCGGCTCATACACATCACTGCTGACATGTCCCCTCTCACATGGTCCTTACCCGGACTCCTCGGGCAGTAACAGGTCGTGTCGGGCGGCCTGGCTCAGCGCCGTCTCCACCTTCTCCTCTTCAAACCGCAAATGTTTCTGGAAGTGTTTTGTGCCGTCAGTTTCCTAATAAGAATATAGCGCACAGTCAGTGTCATGGGTGTCACATATATAGGGAGCGGTGGGAGCGGCGTGCTGCGTCCTCTCCATTATACTCACACTGGTCTCTTTCCTCGCTCGCTCATATTTCGCCAGCTGATCCTCAGGCACGGGGGCCTCGCCAGGGAACGGGTCCTCTGCCTGTGATGGGAGGAAAATAAATAAAAAGGTCTTACATTACTGCACTGCTCTCACTGAGGTCCAGCGTTTAACCCCCAATAGGGACCATATCTGCATGGAGTGTGTACATTCTGCCTGTGTTTATCTTCTTTGGCTAATTCATTATCCTTCCATTCATAGAGGGAGGGGCATGGATAGGAGCCAATCAGGCTCTGCTGCAGTGGACATGTGCAAACAGGCATAAGAAGAGAGATAACATCTTCAGTGTTCCGTTACTCCTTTCTCATCCAATCAGCATACTTGGGGGGTGTGTGCTTTTTACCAATATGTAGTGCTGCTGCTGCATTGGAGATCTGGTACCTGGCTGAACTGCCTGGATCACAACACTGGCTGCACATAACAGATGCGAAGGCCGGCTAAACTGTTCCCATATATTAGAAATCTGTATTTAGTTGCTTCTGTCCTAACGCAAGTTTCAAGTTCTACTTTTAAATTAGAACTACGGCCTACAGACAAATGGGAGGGGCCGATGTGTACACGTTCTGCCCAGCATATAGCATTCCCGCCACTAGATGGAGCATAGGGAATTATCCCGCCACCAGATGGAGCTGAGAATAGGAAATTCCTATTCTCCTCGGCTGCATCTAGTGGCGGGAATGCCGAGTGAGCGGCATTTGGTCAGCTATACACTTGAGCGAACGTTCATCCATCGACCCCGTAGTGTAGAATAGTTTTTTTACACATTGTTACAGACTTACCCCGGATATCACATCTATGCCGCCCCTCTTCCCCGATTTACGTTCTCGCCTCCGTCCCCCCTCCCCCTTCTGATCAGTCCCCTGTTCTGGGGGCGGCTGCTTCTCCTGGTCATTGCTCTGTGGCGGGAGCGGTGGCTTCTCCTCCTCGTAGTATCGCGGCACTTTCTAGAAGAGAGAAAAACAAGACTCTGTAATTTGTAGTACAAAAATCTGAGACATCAAAGACGACTTCCCCACAGAGACCGGACTACAGAGCATGAGTACAACCGAGATTGTAGAGGAGGCCTGACCTCCTTCACATGCGTCCCGTACATTATAACAGTTGGATGATTGTGTCCCGTACATTGTAACAGTTGGATGATTGTGGCCCGTACATTGTAACAGTAATGTACATTATAACAGTTGGATGATTGTGTCCTGTACATTGTAACAGTTGGATGATTGTGTCCTGTACATTGCAACAGTTGGATGATTGTTGCCTGTATATTGTATACAGGTTTTGTGGAACGCCTTAATTGTCCCTTTGAGGAGATTTTCTCTCGTTTCCTGTTGTGTCTCTAAGACAGGAGGTGAAGGGAAAACGTACCCAGCAAGACAGACCGGATGTAACCATTCCATACACTGTGCAAGATTGAAAAGAATAAAAGATTTGGCCCTACACAAACTGGTAACATGCATCATTGTTATACACACACACACACACACACACACACACACACACACACACATCACAGACTGAACTGTATAATCCCCAAACACAATTAGACTACCGGGGGCTCAGAAGGAAACTACAAATCCCAGAATGCATTGCAACAAAACTCTTGTGACATGCATTGCTGAGCCTTGTAGTCCCTGCGCAGTGTTGAACTCACCGATCTCTAGCTGGACACATAATAACAGACACCGTACACTCCACCAGTTACACGTCCCAGGACCTATTGGGGAAAAGCCTGCACAGGCTCACTGAGACTTGTAGTTCTCCCACAGCCCGGGCAGAAGGTTCAATCACCCGAAAGTCTCAATACACGTGTGACTTACCCGCTTCTGGGGCTTTATCGACGCCATGCTGGACTCCTCTGCCGCATCCGGAAATGAGCAATAAAGTTTCAACAACAACCAGCTTGGAACGCATAGGATGTCGCCGCCCAATAAAGAGAGTTGAAGAAAAAAAGATGGGACCTTTGCTTCCAATCAAGTAAGTTGGAAAAAAAATTGTACTTATAGGTAATGGTCGCCGACCTTTATAGAACGTTCAGGGAAAAAAAAGTTATATGTGGGGGTCTGTTTCCATCCAAAGAGTGTTAAAGAAAAAAAAAGATACATGTGACAATACACTGGCCAATAGCGTTGAAAGAAAAAAAAAAAAGTAAACTGCGCGAGTGCGGGGCTGCCATCTTTACTGTGGGCAGGGTATAAATTCGCTGGTCTAGTTTTGTGCTCCTGTCAAGTGTAAACAGCAAAGCAACCATGTTGAAGGCTGAACTGAAGGACCTGTGACTCCAAAAGTGATATTTCACATATAGGTGGATGCTGGAGGGCTGAGTCACCCTTTATGTCTGTTGGTGACTCCAAAAAAATGGATCCTTCCATTGTTACTGGCCGCCATGGTGAGTCTTCATTACAGAACTGAACATGGAATCCATGGAGCCGCTTTGTTACAGCCATGGATGAGGTGCAGGGGCTCAAAAGCAGACATTTAAAGAGAACTCACAAAGAGCAGAGGGGAATTTAGAAATGTTTATTGTGCTTACGCCGCTGGATCAGAACCTTAGAAAGGCCACGACTCGGTACATACTTCTAAAACGGGTGAGCAAAGTTGAACCCTCAAGCTGCGGTGAAACTACAAATCTCATCATTCATCTGTGCCTGGGAGTCAGGGCCCTGTCACACCATCAAGAGTGCGTTCCAGTGCGTTCAGCCTCTGGAACGCAACCCGGCCCGGCTCACTTTGGTTTGGGGCCGGAAGGGGTGTGGCATTGCATTGAACTCATGGGCACCGCAGCCACGCCCCCAACACGCGGTGTGATCGCCACCACCTGAACGCATGGCACATTAGTGCCTGCGTTCCGGTCCAGTGCGATCTGCAAAAAATGCTGCATGCACTATTATTTGCAGATTGCACTGGATCGAAAACGCAGGGACTAATGTGCCACATGTTCGGGTGCCGGCAATCACACCGCAGGCGTGGCTGCAGTGCCATTGAGTTCAATGCACCGCCACACCCCCTCCCGCCCTAAACCAGTGAAATTTTTTGGAGACGAGTCTTCCAACCGACATACTCAAAGAAATGGGATATACACCCACATAATTGGATCACTGGATCAGACATGCACTGGATCGAAAACGCAGGGACTAATGTGCCACATGTTCGGGTGCCGGCAATCACACCGCAGGCGTGGCTGCAGTGCCATTGAGTTCAATGCACCGCCACACCCCCTCCCGCCCTAAACCAGTGAGTTGGCTGAGTTGAGTTCCAGAGGCCGAACGCACTCTTGAAAGGGTGACTGGGCCCTCATACCTGCAGCTGTAAGGATGTTGCAATGCCTCATGGGATTTGTAATTCCACATCAGCAGGAGGGCTGAAGTTTGCCCACCCGTTCTAAACCCTTCTATGCTCCAACAAGGGTCCAAATACTTCCTTAAGGTCCCTTAAAATGCAGTAATGTGCGTTCTGTGCCATCCAAATTGATCACATGACTGCAAGATCATCAATATACATACATAGCAAGTGCTGGGCAGGTGATGCATATGTTCAGCCAATGCCGTACTGTGTCCTTCCGCGTACTTTTCCTCCGCTGATCTAGGCTGCAGCCGACTCTGCGTTGCTCCTGTAGTCTGTGCAATTTGCTCTGGTCATGTGACTGCCAGCAGGTTCTCTGTGCAGACACAGCTGAGGAGGAGGGCACTCCGACACCTCTGCACCGGTCTCCCAAACTATGTATCCCCAACACCACTCTAATACAGCGAGCCCCTGCACTGGACTGCCGCTTGCCTGCTGTGCAGTATTCGAGTCTGTCAGCTGTAGACTGACTACAGGAGCCGGCAGAACGTCTCAGCATAGGAGATATATAACCCTGGCATAAGCAGCATCCTAATAATTATACCTTGTCCTGATTTCCTGCTGATAATTAGCAGAGCCCTTCCTTGTATATAAGTGTGTCTACAGCAAGGGAGGACAGACTCCAGCTCTCAGAGACTACACATCCCATCATATAGCTGTCTCAGGGAGTCATGTCTGACTGAGAATCTTGCAATGCCTCATGGGATTTGTAGTGCTACAACAGCCAGGGTTTGCCCACCTCCTAATCTACAGGCTCATAGCAGAGATCTCAGGCACTGCTGCCTCTGATTGCAAGATTTGGTGATGTCACTAGTGTGCTGCTCACTTTTCTTGCTGGAGCCATTGGAAAGCAAAGCCCTGCCCCTACCAAAATGGCCACCTCCACCCAGAGTACACAAGGCATGGTATAGTCAGTAATGGGCAGATCAGTGACAATACCAGTGACTAGCCCTTTGGCAACCTTTTTTTGGCACAGCTTCCAGGGTTCAGTTCCTCTTTTAAACTTCCAGAACTGAACATCTGACTTGTCAGTTTTGGATGCACAGTCCTCCCCTTCTGCTTAGAAGTACATTTCACATCTATTTATATTGTAAAGCGCTGCGCAAACTGTTGGCACTATATAAATCCTGTATAATAATGATAAGGGGCAGAAACATGACTTGCCATCAATAGCTGGCTTTAAATTTCTAGTTCCTCCAACAGATGATAGGGATCCATTACACTCCCAGATATAAAATAAAAAGGACAAGACCGCATGGGCTTTATACACAGCTCATCATACCGACCTCCCACCTATAAGGTGCCCATACACTGGACAGATTTCAGACGGTATTTAATGTACCGGCTGAAATTCACACGGTGTGTGGGGCTGTCTGCTCCCTTTCAGCCGGCATTCCTATATCAGCTGACCAAATGAGCCGGCTGGAAAGTCTTTGTATGATCAGAGCCGGCAGCAAATGAGCTGCCCGCTCTGATCGGGTATTCTGACCTGTAAGAATACAAGGTAAACAGCGGCAATTCCTCGGACACACTGTTTGTGGTGGAGGAAAATCGCATGATTTTTTTTACCTCCAGCCCGCAGCTTGAATGAAAAAAAAAATAGGTGTATGGGTAGCCTAAAAGGTGGCCACACCCCTATAGATTATCTGCAGATTTTCTATGGTCAGATGGAAAAAGTGCCATAGATTCCTCCATCTGCACTACACTGTGTGTATGGAGGAATCTCCCGCTGGGCCAAGCTTCAGTATCTTGCTAGTCGGCCCCGCTGGCTCTCAAAATACCTGAACAATGCCGGCATCCAATCAGATTGTTCAGGTATTTTGAGAGCCAGTGGGGCCAACTAGCAAGATACTGAAGCTTGGCTCAGTGGGAGATTCCTCCATACACACAGTTTAGGCCCCATTCACACTGAGCGATTTATCGCGCGGTAATTCCCACGATATCACGGCTATTTACCGCACGATATCGCTCTCCAATGCATGGCAATGGGGCTCTGTCCGTCGCTGTAGCAGGACCCTTATTGGAGCGGATTGTGCAGCAATTCTAGCTTGCTCAATGCAAGCATTTGCACGACAAACGCGCGATTTGCGAATCGCTCAGTGAATGGGGCCTTAACGTAGATGGAGGAATCTGTTGCGCTTTTTCCATCTGACCATAGAAAATCTGCAGATCTATATGTGTATGGCCAGCTTTACTCAGCACACTAGCCACATGCTGAACTAATTTTAGCGCGCAGGCCAATGTGCACAGGCCCTTAAGTGTGTAAAAAGATTTCTCCTGTTAATGACATTACCAGATGTGAGTTTGAAGCAAACCAGCCCATTGGAATAATGAAACCATCGCACCCTCTTCATGAAACATACAAGCTTCCATCCTCCACACATTTTTAGCAAAGCGCTGCCAGATCCTCGCTCTCTGCTATCAGTAGAACTGCTTCTGAACACACTTCCCATTATGCCGCCTAAATGGAGAATAACCAAAATTATGCCATAAAGCCGAATCCAGATCTTTTTCAGGCTCTTGTTTGGCCCAATAAATCTTATGGTCACATTAAAATGATCCTCATGTTCCCCAGCGGTTCTGAAATCCCAAGAATGCTCCTATAACTAAAGATGGTAAAACAGAAAAACAATTCCAATGATGTTTTACAAGAACTTTATTCACAAACAGCACAGGCAGACATTTTACTTCTTCTTGGACACACCCACAGTGCGTCCACGGCGGCCGGTGGTCTTTGTGTGCTGTCCTCTTACACGCAGACTGCGGAAAGGAAGAAAAAAAAGCCATTTAGTCTTATTACAATAAGTTACATTTCTGTATCTCAGAAAAGGATCCGTTTTGGTACCACAATCATTATGTAGGGACTTAAACTGGGGAACCCCCTCCAAAAAAAAACACAGCTAGAAATAGAAGGGCTTAGCATGCTTGCTCCAGGAACTATCTCCAGTGATTTGATCATGACAACCAGTCTACACATTTTCAGAATAGAGATCAATAGCAGCAGTTTCTAGTTTTTCATACATGTTTCTTTTAAGTGAGACCAACTCATGGCAGGGGATGAAGACGCTTCACAATTCAGAAAACTGATCTGCTATTAATCACATAATCAGAATCAAATCCCAAAGACAAAATATTGCAGCTCACCAGTGTTTTCTGCATTGGCTGCATTTGGTTTTCTCCCCTCTGGCCTTTATTTGTAATCCTACCAGTGATATTTCCTGTCCTTGGGTGACAACATATTTACTATATTGTATCTGGAGTAACAGCGTTGTCACCCTAGGACAGGAAGAGTGCCAAGACTACAAAACCCCCCCCTCCAATTTGGAGAGGTGTTCCTAGTCACCAAAAAACCCAAGCAGCCCTGATAACACTTTGGAAATGTAGCGCAGAGCGGGCAAGGGTGAGTTTATGCCACAACATTCAAGTATAACTGCATGGCACAGTGCTGGAGAAGGGCACACTAGAAAAGCTCCGTCCTTCCCCCATCAGGGTCCTACAGATGCCAGGAATGAGCAGTCAGTGACACAATGCATGCACTATACGGTGTACATAGGAAATAAGATTGCTCGGGGAGAGAGGAAGACTTGGCAGGAGAGACTTGCGTGACTTTCAAATACCCCCACTTCCTGGCATTTTTTTTTACAGTTTAACTCTTAACTGCCATCAAAAACACTAAATATCAGTTTGCATTTACATTCATTACAGGTATTTATAGAGCACAGACAATTTACACAGTGCACATTCACATCAGTCCCTGCCCTCAAGGAGCTTACAATCCAAGGTTCCCATCTCACATACATAAAGGGCCAATTTAGAGGAGCCAAATCACCTACCAGCATGTCTGGAGTGTGGGAGGAAAGCAGAGTATGCGGAGGAAACTCACATAAGCACAGGGAGAACATGCAAACTCCATGCGGATAGTGTCCTGACAAGGACACCCAGTGCTGCAAGGCAGAAGTGCTAACCACTACGCTGCTCATATACATGTACGGCACCTTCAGGTTCAGATCCCTGAACTGGACCGAGGTGATGGGAGGTGACATAGGAGTTGTGAGCCATGAGAAGTGTAGCCTGGATCTGTAATTCTGTGGAGCGATTGGCAAACATTTAAAAGTAGAGATATAGATACCAGCTTTTCGCTATAGTGTACAGAAATGTATCTTTCGGTTCTCGCCGACACTGGTACTTCCGCTAGCATGGAGCCGGCTTCCCGGCCAATCAGGAACCCAGGTCGTTACCCACCGTGCAGCTTCCCGATTGGCGGGGAAGCCGGCTCACTGCTGTTTGGTCAGTTTCATGCTGTCTGGCCGGGAAGCCAGCTATCAGCCAATCAGCACAGAGCTGGCTTCCCAGTCAATCAGGAAGCTGGGTCATTCAGGGGCCAATCAGGAAGCTGGTACGCAGGCTTCATTACCCACTGCCCATCTTCCCGATTGGCCAGGAAGCCAGCTCCATGTTGCCTCACGGCACTGGAAATCTTCCTCTGACTGGAAGTTGCGGTATCAGAGCATATAGGCGAGTACTTGCCCAAATACTCCGTATATCCCTAATTTAAAGCCTTATTGTACTGCCAGTAGACTAACATCGCCCCTCCTGATAAGCTGCACACCTCCCGTCTCTCCTGCAGCTTTCTCTTGGAAATATGCAAAGCTGGGTCCTGCTCCCCCACAACACAATCACAAACCATTCCTAAGAACGCCATTAGAATACAAGCGTTTTGCAAAAATGGAGTTTGTGGCACACGTGCTGTAGGAAACTTCTGTTGCTGTGATAAGCAATAGAAGATTTCCAAAATGTGGCGCTGAGCAGGCCAATCAGTGACCGCCTTGGAGGAAGTGTACTAATAGAGCGTGGTTTGTCGGGGGGGATTAGGGGGGACTGTAGCCGATTTCTGCTTTTAAGTCATCTGGGTGCATCTCATGTGATGGCCCTTCAGTGACACTGCCACCAATCTCTAGTCTCCATCTCATCATTGCCAGCAGGACAAGCTATGCCAAGCCTGCTCCAAATAGGCCAAAGCCGTCACACCAACTCATCACCATCTCCAACTTCATATAGAGCCACCATATCCCAGAAGTCAGTATAAAATTAGGAGAGCAAGTAACAAGAAGCTTAAGGGGACAACTTTGTAGTAAATCAATCAGCACTCTATACTCCAATCAGAACCAAGAGGAAACCTGCTCAAGCACCAGCAGTGGAAGTCATACAGGGCTTGCACATGATAAAGAGACGCTGTCACCTATTTAGGGGAAGTGACCGTGCCTGAAAAACCCACCACACCCCAATACCCCTTTCCTGCAATCCCCCTTCTGCCTTATTCAGTCACAGCCAGCACCACAATAACCATCAGAGCCTAGAGGGAGCAGAGACATTACCCCATCATGTGAGTTCTGGGACCGAAGAATTACCTACTAGACCCCAACATTGTCACATCCACCCCCATACACTGGGAGGGGAATTATCACAACTGGAGCAGACAAACTGGGGCAACTGCCCATAGTAACCAATCGCTTCTACCTTTCATTATCAAATCTTATGTGAAGACAGAAGCTGATGGGTTACTATGGGCAACTGCTCCAGAGTCTGTCTGCTCCAGTATTGATAAAACTCCCCCACTGGGTGTTTTGTGCCAGCTGAGCTACAGACTGGAGAGAAAATTTAATTTCAGTAGCAAAATCTTCCCGGCTGTGTTGCTGTCCTCTCACTCCCGTCCCATTCTTATAGGCAACTTATCGGGACAATAAAAAGCAGGAGCTGCGACTTCAGATTTGCAGAAGCTTCAGATCCATTCTTCAGTACTCAACCTACTACTGCAGAACACGCAGTGCCAGGGATGATGAACTCCCAAACTGGCCAGGTAAAGTCACTCAAGATGACCGTTGTGTCCTCCAATCTGCCTGATCTAGGACTTTAAACCCTTAGTGACTGACGACGTACAGTGTACGTCGCCAGCATCGGGGCTGTTTAAACAGACTCCCGGTGACTTTTGCCGCCGGGACTCTGTTAGTTTTTTTAAAAGTACCCCGCCCCCGCGAGCCGCCACGTAAAGACGCGTCGGGTGCGCCTACGCATGAAAACGACGAACGCGCTACACATGTTGGGTATCGCCGCGCACGCCGGAGTGAGAGCAATAATCCTAGGGCCAGTATTTTGGGGTATCTCTAAATTGATGACCTGTGGGGGCTTTTAAAGTGTCTTTTATTGACTTTTTGGGGTACTGCAGTTTTTCGCCGTTTCACGGTCGCACGCAATCTGTAAACTGGGCATGTTGGGTATCGTTTTACTCGTTGTAACCTCATCTTTTATATTTCATTAAAAAAATTGGTAATTTGTTGTGTTTTGGGGCATTTAATTAAATTTGTCACTAAATTTTGGGGTTTAATAAGGAGTTGCGCTAATATTGCGCAACATAAACATTTTCAACTACCACCATTTTATTCTATAGGGTCTTGGCATTCAGAAAATATATAATGTTGGGGGGTTTTACGTCATTTTCAGGCCTAAAATGTGGAATATAACATGGGTGCAAAAATTGAAAAAAGGGCCTCAGTCATGAAGGGGTTAATTCATAAAGCACGCATGGTCCTGAGATTTGTGCAAATCTTCAGGAGCAGCTCCTGTTTTTCCACCACCCCGAGAACCTGAACGTCCAGAAAGAAAAGCCAACAATGGCAGATATCCAGAAAGGCTCCTTTTAGATGCAAGAGGAAAAAACTCCACCACATGGTTCTGATGGATATTGGACTTTGAGAACTATGGGGTCAGTGTTTTTCCCCCATAGTTCTCTTTAGGGTAACGGGAGGACACAAACTAGCGTCCTCCCGTTACCCTAAGCTCAGTATACAGCGAGCTACTGCTCGCGGTATACCGAGACGCCGCAGCGGATCCCGACCTGGATGTCGGGATCCGCCCAGCTGCGTGACAGCTGGCTCTGTCTATCTAGAGGCAGAGCCAGCTGCGCCCGCCCCCTCTCCCGTCCTGCCAGTCAGCGCTGGCAGATCGGAGCAGGGAATCCAGCCCCTCCCCCTGTCACGGCAGAGAGCCGTGACAGGATCGAGAGGTGAGCGAACGCCGGTATGTGTTCGCTCACCTCCCGATCTACTGAGCCGACCTGTGACAGTCTCATTGTCACAGGTCGGCTAGAACTATGAGGTGAGTGGAAACTCATCTCATAGTTCTCCTTTAAATCGGCCCATTAAATGCAAGGGCTTTATAAGCAGCTTAACTCTTAGGACGGATGCCCCCATGACATGGCGTGCATGGTGCATATATGTAACAAATCTGAAATGGGAATTTCCTCATCCTATCAGGTCAGAGATTCCTAGAGAAGTCACAAATTATGTTCAAGAAGGTCCAAAACAACCAAATTACAAGCAAACCTTAAAGTGACAGGTGCTCTTTAACATGAATTCATGGTCACAATGTTCAATTCCTTACAAGATGCCAAAACCATAAAAAAAAAAGTCAGCTCTTTAACAGAAATTCTCTTCACTCACCCCCAGAAGTGACGCAGGCCTCTGTGCGCCTTGATTTTCTTCAGCCTCTCCAAATCTTCACGGAGTTTGTTATCCAGACCGTTGGCCAGGACCTGATGACAACATAACACATGGTATCATGAGGATCTTGATCAATGGCAGTATATAATGAGTTGCCTGTTTAGTGCACTTTATAATGCCAAGTCTCCTGCGTTTACATTATATACTGTGAAGTAGGGATGCACAGATATCGCTTTTTCGATAATCGCAAATACAAAATATCTATACCGGAAGTCCCATTAAGGAAGCCAGACGTTGTAATGACTCACATTCGGCTTCCCGATTAGCCAGAAAGCAGTATCCAGGTGACGAGGCAGCATGGAGCTAGCTTTCTGGCCAATCAGGAAGTAGGGTTGCGGGTAATGACTCCTCTATGATCGGCTAGCTTCCCAACCAATCAGGAAGCTGGGTGGCAAGTCATTACACGCCGTCCGGCTTCCTAATTGGCCAGAAAGCCAGCTCCATGCTCCCAGGTACCGGAAGGAAGTTCCAGTATCAGAAGCATTTGGGCGAGTAGTAGTATTGGTGCATCCCTACTGTAAAGGCTCATGCACACATTTAGGGGCGTACAACAAATCCAGGCTCTTCAGAGTCCAGGATACTCCCCATAGACATGAATGGCTGAGCATGGATATAGACTGGTACTCTGGTAAACCCACCTAGAGCATATGAACGTTCTCCCCCCCAAAAAAACTATTCGGGACATTCATCCATATGCTGTAAGTGGATACCATTGTACACGGGCATGCGGCCATTCCTGTCCATCGGCAGCCCTTGAAGCCTATTTACATGCTATGGCTCTATTGGCACTTGTATGCAGTAGGCTAATTAAAGTCACAGACTGAGGACTAACTCATTTAATATAGGGAACACCGAACAGTCCAAAATACAAGTAACAGATAAGCAGCAAACAGGCGTGGGTCATCCACAGACAAATGACAGCTATGCCCGTACACCAGGTCTTGCTGCCAATGTGTGTCACGTACACCAGAACCTGCCCCCTCACCTGGCTGTATTTGCCATCCTTGATGTCCTTCTGTCTGTTCAGGAACCAGTCTGGGATTTTGTACTGACGAGGATTCTGCATAATGGTGACCACGCGCTCAACCTGCGAACAAATTCAGTGACAATCATGATACAGCCGAGGCTTCACCCCAACACACTGCCGCATCACAACCTAAAGACCCACCTCGTCCTCTGTCAGCTCTCCCGCACGCTTAGACAGGTCAATGTCCGCCTTGCGCAGGACTACATGAGCGTAACGCCTTCCAACACCCTGCAACAAAACAAGAAGTTTACAATTCTGTCCCACAAACCAACATTCCCAGACAGATCAACACGAATGCGTCCAGCTAAAAAAAAGTGCGCAAGTGTCCCCTTGGGGGAGATTTCCCTTTACTTCCTGTTATAACAGGAAGTGAAGTCTACCTACTCGAGAAACTAGCACACAGAACAATCCATCCTCCCGCCCTCAGAGTATTAAAGCACCGAAGAACTCACCTTAATGGCTGTGATGGCGAAGGCGATCTTCCTGCGCCCATCAATGTTCGTGTTCAAGACACGCAGAATGTGCTGAAACTTCTCCGGGATTACGAGAGACTGCGGAGAGAACAATGACAAGTTACAACTAACACGCTGCTAATACCACCCAACGCGGGTACACAGGACCGTTCACTCATCCCGTGCCCCAGCTCCCTTACCCAAACACCCCCCCCCCCTCTACAGACACATACTTACCACGATCCAACGGGCCAGTGCTGGATCGTATGCAGTTCTGCAAGTCTTGTCCTAGCCGTGTCTGCGCATCACAACCCAATAAAGTTATATAGGTCGTGCCCCAAGGCCGAGGAAGAAACCACACAGCATCAGGGCCTCAGATATAGGGGGGATGAAATGTAGTAGCACCATGGGGTAGAGGTATAGGGAGATATGTAGCAGCACCATGTGTCACACATCCGACCATGGGTCGGTGGTACCGGTGGATGATACGCAATGCCATGGGTTGGGTCAGGTCTGATATACAGAGGGCTACAAAGCAGTTGTCTCATGGGTCAGGGCACATGTATCAGGGTATAAAGGGGTGCAATGTAGTAGTGCCATAGATCAGTGCTACAGGTATAGAGGGATACAATACAGTCATGCCATGGGTCAGGGTACAAGTATAAAGGGGTGTAGAGTAGTAGTGCCATGGGTCAGGGTACAAGTATAAAGGGGTGTAGAGTAGTAGTGCCATGGGTCAGGGTACAAGTATAAAGGGGTGTAGAGTAGTAGTGCCATGGGTCAGGGTACAAGTATAAAGGGGTGTAGAGTAGTAGTGCCATGGGTCAGGGTACAAGTATAAAGGGGTGTAGAGTAGTAGTGCCATGGGTCAGGGTACAAGTATAAAGGGGTGGAGAGTAGTAGTGTCATGAGTCAGGTTGGGGCTACAAGGCAGATGAGCCATGGGTCAGATTACAGGTATTAAGGGGTGCAACAGAGCACTGGGTCAGGGTACAGAGTAGTAGTGTCATGGGTCAGGTTGGGGGTTCAGTAGTGCCATGTTGGGGGTACAGGTTATAGATGGGTGTAGTAGTGCCATGTTGGGGGTACAGGGATACATTTTAATTAGGTCAGGAGGATACAGGTATAAAGTTACACATTAGAAGAAGGAAGCTGCATTCTTGGCATAGAATAGATGTCGGCACATATGCTGTAGCGGTGTACACACTGGGAGTAAAGTATACTGTACACAGTGATGGTACGGTCCGGAGGGGGGGACACTAGGTAAGGACAGAGGAGGGGGGTTCTGGGAGGATCACTGGGGCCGGGTGTAGCTTTGGCGCACACACATTCTTCATCAGTAAGAACTCTACAGAATGCACCGGCCCGGCCTACCCAGCTACCCCCAGAGATAACCCATGGGAGCTGTCACCCCCCAAACTATGGAAACCCCGACCGATATCCCTCCCGAGCACCACAGCAGGACCCCCCGAAACCACAGGCACCCCAACGACAACCCTCAGACTTTGCCCCGGCTCGGATGGCGGCAGATAGCCCGTTCCCCCCTTCTAGGTCCCGTAACAACTCTCACCATGGCGGCGGCAGCAGGGTAAGAGAGAGAAAGAGGAAGTGACGTCGCTGACTTTATCCCGAGCCGGCCCCCTGAGCTCACTTCCGGGAATTGGCAAAGAACTCTGGGAGCTGTAGTCCAGAACCCGGAAGTAGAGGCGGAAGCCGAGTGTCTGCTGTGTTTTGGGGTCCAGTGAGGTGTCAGAGATGGCAGAGGTGAGAGGGATTGTTATGGGGGAGGGGAAGGTTGCTGACTTTGGTCTTGGTGATACTGTACAGCTCTGTGTTTGCTTCTCCCGTACCTTCCTTGTGTTGTGTTCTCCTTCTGATTTCTTACTTAAAGGGATTGTCCACCAAAAACTAATTTGCAGTTCTGGGTGGGCACTGGTTGGCTGTGTCAGCTACTGGCTGCGTATATCCCTTTTAAAAATGCAGCAGTGAGCCCTCCATGCTTCCATCTTTTCTACAACCAGGTCTCACTCCTTCTGCTGCACTCTCTGGAAGGTGACACGGACGAATGGCACAGGGAGAGAGAGGGGCTTCTTAATTCCGCCATATGTGGGTGGAGCTGAGATCGCTGATATGGACATCCCACTATTGAAGCCCTGGAGTTGGGGGTGGCGGTTGTGATTCAAACCTTCGGCATCTCTCTAAAATATCAATATTGGGTGGATGTTCTCTTTAAGAAGGCCACTGGGCAGGACTGGTGCTCTATGGCAGATGGGCGGCTCCGGGGTGCGAATAGTTTAGTTTATTTCCAATTCATCCTGGGTGCCTGTAATGGGACCACCATCCCCCCCTCCCAACATGCTAATGGCATTTCTAAATCAAACCTTTCTGTTTTCATTACAAATCTTATTTTAGACCCGGTGATGTCATCACTGGGTCCCGGTGTGCCTCTGCAATGCAGGCAGATCATGGCCGGGGGGAGGGGCCAGCAGAATGACATACATAGCTCCCTGGAAACATCACAGCACCCTGCCTGAGCACTACTCTCATTCCTGATGCAAGCAGTGGGCTGGCTCTTGGGAGGAGTTATGCAAATATCAAAATACCTTGATGGGTGGGGTCAGTCTGGAGAGGCGGGATTTCCCAGGCTGTATTTCCATGCAGCCCATTCTAGGTAATGCCCACTTGTGATGCCGAGCCTCCATGATTGAAGGAACTGAAATCCAATGAATGAAAGGGGTGGAACAGGGACACTGGGAAGTGGCTTGTTGGTGCTGGATGTCCTTCAACCGGGAAATGAGGCGGGCTCGGTCTGACTAATGCACATCGTGGACTATCTGGAGTATGTAATATGTGTAATGATTCCTATTATTTATTGCAGATGGATGACCTCACCCTGCACCTCGGGGACCTGGACCTCACCTCCGATGACATCACTCTGGACACAGTCAGCAGTATGTATTCCATATCTCAGGCCAAGTCCTCACATTCTCCCCGGTGCTGTCTGTCCCTTGTTATGTATTTGTGACATGGGGATGGGGGGTTGGTGGGATTCCGAGTCCCTGGCCCCTAATGAGACAGGGTCCAGGACACTTCTCCACCCTTCCTCCTCCATGTTTTCCCCATTATGGGTGGAGAATCTTTTCACATTGGCAAAGTTATTTGTGAAATAGATCCTTAGCTGACAGGTGGGGGAACTTCTGGACAACATCTAGATGAGGTTTATACATGGACGGAACCCTCAGGACTGACATTTCCAGCAAAAAGAAAATGGCCGCCTTAACCTTAAAGTGGAACTTGACCCACCAACAGTAAGGCGTGCCAACTGTCAGGATTGTCGGCGTCTTTATTTCAGCTCTCAACCAAACGTTCAAACCCTCAATTGGCTGGTGACATAGCTGATCACATGGGCAGCACCATGGCAACTGCAATCCAAATAGAGGCCAAGATGGCGCCTTCCTTGGCTGTAAAGGATAGGAGGGTGTAGTTCCACTTTAAGCTGACCCATTCCCATGGAGGGTGTAGTTCCACTGTAAGCTGGCCCATTCCCATAGAGGGTGTAGTTCCACTGTAAGCTGGCCCATTCCCATGGAGGGTATAGTTCCACTGTAAGCTGGCCCATTCCCATGGAGGGTATAGTTCCACTGTAAGCTGGCCCATTCCCATGGAGGGTATAGTTCCACTGTAAGCTGGCCCATTCCCATGGAGGGTATAGTTCCACTGTAAGCTGGCCCATTCCCATGGAGGGTATAGTTCCACTGTAAGCTGGCCCATTCCCATGGAGGGTATAGTTCCACTGTAAGCTGGCCCATTCCCATGGAGGGTATAGTTCCACTGTAAGCTGGCCCATTCCCATGGAGGGTATAGTTCCACTGTAAGCTGGCCCATTCCCATGGAGGGTATAGTTCCACTGTAAGCTGGCCCATTCCCATGGAGGGTATAGTTCCACTGTAAGCTGGCCCATTCCCATGGAGGGTATAGTTCCACTGTAAGCTGGCCCATTCCCATGGAGGGTATAGTTCCACTGTAAGCTGGCCCATTCCCATGGAGGGTATAGTTCCACTGTAAGCTGGCCCATTCCCATGGAGGGTATAGTTCCACTGTAAGCTGGCCCATTCCCATGGAGGGTATAGTTCCACTGTAAGCTGGCCCATTCCCATGGAGGGTATAGTTCCACTGTAAGCTGGCCCATTCCCATGGAGGGTATAGTTCCACTGTAAGCTGGCCCATTCCCATGGAGGGTATAGTTCCACTGTAAGCTGGCCCATTCCCATGGAGGGTATAGTTCCACTGTAAGCTGGCCCATTCCCATGGAGGGTATAGTTCCACTGTAAGCTGGCCCATTCCCATGGAGGGTATAGTTCCACTGTAAGCTGGCCCATTCCCATAGAGGGTGTAGTTCCACTTTAAGCTGGCCCATGTCTTTTGGATGAAATGTCAGAACTTTCTTCCTGTTTAATAAAGATTACATTGATGAAGAAAAAAAAAAAACTGTCCCGTTGCCCTTCCTGTCACCCTTCCCATGTGTCCTCCCCATGTCTCTTCTCTCCGTCCTCCCCCGGGTTGCCCTCTGACTTTGTCTTTCTCTCTCTCTCAGTTCACATCCAGGAGAACCTAGAAGATGCGCTCGTCCAGGAAGCGTTGAAGACGGTGAGTCACAGAACAGGCTGAAATCAATCCCAGCAGGATAATGCCGTGCAATCAAGACAAATCTTTTTTTTTTTAGTAAAGGAAGATTAAAACCTGTCAGCTTTTTTTTTTTGTGCCCCATTAAGGAGAATTCCTCTCACTTCCTGTCTGATAGCTACAATAGGAAGTGAGAGGAAATCCCTGGTGGTAACCAGAACTAGTGTCCCCATTGGGAGATTCCCCATCTATTCCTTTTCTGGTGACAACCCACTATTAGTGATAACGTTCACCAGGACAAATAGAGGGGGTGAGTCTCTCTAACCTCTTGCCATCCGCCCGTAGTAAAAAAATGGACGGACGGCACTGCAGCATTTGTGGGTTGCAGCGGATGTCAACTGGCTAAAGCAACCGGACTTCCACTTGATATAGTTCTCAAAGTTCTCTTTCTTTATTATCTTTTGCAGGGTGTTGATCTCAGACAATACTCCAAGCAGGTTGAGATGGAGCTGCAGCAGATCGAGCATGTGTCAATCAAGGACTGTATCCTTCCAGCACTGGCCAGGGGGCCCCTAGAGCAGTGGTTCTCAACCTGTGTAACCCCACATTTGTCCTTGGTCATTAAGCCGTGACCCGAGTAGCACTGGAATGGAAAGCATGGCATTCCGGTGCGGTCGATCGAACTGTGGGTTGGAGGTGCCGGTTAAATGAATGGCAATGCAACACACCTTCCACACCAGAATGCATGGTTGGTGCAATTGCGTGGTACAGTGCGTTAATGGCACAGGACTGTGTGATTAACGCACTCTACTAGTGTGAACGGGCCCTCAAAAACACTGACAGACACTCACAGACACAATCTCACACACACAGACATTGTCATACACACTCCAAAAAAATAAAGATCCACCCAGTCTCCCTACCTTATCAGAACTGGAGTGGATCCCCAGCCTGGGGTCCAGTGTGGGCTGCTGTGCTGTGATGGCGCTCCATCCATATGTGCATTGCTTGTACAACTCCATTGCGTGCCCTGTACAGCCGTTGGGAGCCAGAATGTGATGTCACTCCGGTCCAGGCACCTCTACAGGACACGCGAGGGAGCTGTAATCACTGCACGTATGGATGAAGCTCCCATTTCCCCACCCCACCCCACCTCAATCTGACACCAACCAAACAACATATTTTGAACGGCCGATTGGCGCGAAAACTGACAGTGCTGCGCTATGGGGAGGCTGAGGAGCCTCTCACCTAGAAAAGTGGAAGGCGTGCGACGACCTACTGAACATGGGGCCGCGACCCACTTTTGGGTCACGACCCCCCAGTTGAGAACCAAGGCCCTAGAGCAGTGGTGGCGAACCTTGGCACTCCAGCTGTGCCAAAACTACAAATCCCAACATTCAGCTTCCTCTGGGAGTTATGTCTGTGGCTGTCAGAGCCTTGCAATGCCTCATGGGACTTGTAGTTCCAAAACAGTGCCAAGGTTCGCCACCACTGCCCTAGAGGCTTCCAAAGGATCAACTTATTCCTATTGGATCTTATAAGATAATACGAGGCAACCAGCGGAACGCATGTGTTCCCAGCACAGCCATCTGCTAAGTGTAATCCATATGAATGAAAAGCTGATTTTGCCTTTGTTGTGCATTACAGACCATCGTGGCTCTTTAAACGTCATCATTAAGGGCCCGTTCACACTATATGAGGTGACCTGTGTGTGCAGAAGAAAAGACGCAAGTCACCACTAGGGCACAAAGAAAGCATTTGTTTTGTATGTTCCATGTTCACACAGCAACGCAGGGATGATGTGCGCACATGCTGCATTTTCCCGTAGCACAAGATGGCACCACATGCCGCCACAGCGCATCACAACCCGCTACTGTGGGGAGACTTGAAATGAGGGTAACTTTGTCACTTGTCAAATAAGTATTTAAAAATGAAAAATAAATAAACTATGTGATTTTCTATTACTCAATCTGCCAGTTATAGGTGTCATGGGGACAGGAAGTA